AAAAAAAAAAACAGTCTTGCCATTCAGATGCTGTTTTGGTTGAAATACAAGAAAAAAATGATCATATGCAGATATAATAATAGCTTTTGGAAATGATGACAGTACTTCATTAATATGATATTAAAACTTAAAAGAGTTTTTTCAACTATAGTTGAAGTGTGGAACTACAACCACGTCACTGAGTTCTGTGATATTCAGATACATTAAAATCCAGATTTTTCCGTGGATTTTTATGCAGACATAACTGCAAAACATTCTCTTTTAATTATGCGTGGCTTCTGGCCTTCCCAGGCTCTATCATATGGCTTCCAATGACCATATCTGTGAGCAGCACCTCCAACCTATCATCAGAAAAATCTCACTACTGGCAAACTGTCATGACCATGTGGTGGGTACAAGTTTTCCAAACTTCTTGTTTTCTTTGAAAGCTCAAATTTTATCACTGGCATGAAATACTGGGGCTTTAAGTAGAACCCTTATCTGCCAAATGCCCCGAATCTGAAAAGCATCAGTTATCTGTCTGTCTTTGATGTAAAGATGATCTTCAAGGGGTAGGAGTTGGGGGAAGCACCTCATTCTGCAACTCACACAACCACAGGTATTTTCATAAGGATCACCATGGTGCTGGCTAAGCACACGAACATGGTGTGTGACTGGCTATGTGTCCTCAGACTGCTTATTTAGATAGGTGTTCCCTGCCTTTCTACCCATGGCCTTTCAGAGGTAGCCAATCCCACAGTGCACACTCCCTTTCTGCCTCCAACATATCTGTCATCCTTGGCATCTTCTGAACGTACTCTCTCTTTCTCCTCCAATGGCTTTGTTCCATTTAATCTCAATCTATGCCCAAGTATTCTTCTCACTTCATCTGCCTGCCTATCAATCTTTCTTTTATTGGTGCTCACAGCCATGTTATCAGTAAGCTAATCATTAATTATAATTGTAAACATTAATTATAGCTCCCCACAATAGGCTTCTTGAATTCCAGACATTCTGGTAGCCTGCCCCCACATTAAACAAGCAAGGCTCTTCCCCCAGCCCTGCTCCTCCTCTGGGGTCTCTTGGTGTCACAATCTTGGAAGGAATTCATCTCAATACAGTCTTGTGACACTTTACTTGGCAAAACTGAAGTTTACTGCTTTAGAATAAGAAAAGCATTCAGAATGCTTTTGATGGCTGCTAGAGCTACCCAGAGTCTTCCCACACAGGAGAATGACTGGACTTCTGGTGCTTTTGCATAGTTTGTCTTGACATAGTTTGTCTTCATAGGAGAGAATTGTAGTGAAGGTCTGGAGCCAGAATCTGGTTGTATAGTTGCAAAATAACCAAGAACCAGAAAAAGTTCTGAAGAAAATTCTTGTTTATTGAGGATGAAAACAGACAGCCTTTGGCACATTGAAACTTCAGCAAAATGTAGATAATACAACATTTTTCTCATTTTGTTAGTCCTTTGAGGGTTCCAGAGAATGCATTTTGACATATTCCCACCACTCTCCAACTCCTCCCAGATGCACACCCTGCTTCCCTACCCTTTGCATCCCTAGCTTTTATTTGGGTCCGTCACACTTTTAAAATCTTTTAAGAATGTAGTTAAATACACTTCGATCTAGAAATAAATTCAAGGGAGTTAAAAGTGGCAATTTAAAGATCTAAGGTTGAAATTGGATACATTTTATGCATATATCTTAACAAATGAAGATGCAATTAATAGAAAAATCCCATTTACAATTACAAAGGGAACTTCTGGGTGCCTGAATACAAAATCAATATGAAATATACAAGATATATCTGAACCATTAAATGACAGCCCCAATGGCAATGGAGAGATGTAATTTTGAAAGACAAAGGTCAATATTGTCAAGATATCAAATAAATGTATGAAACTGATACCATGAAATTTTCCTATTTGGAAGTTAAAATATTGTTTGTTCCACTATGGAGAATAATAAACTATAAGACAATGAAGTATAATATGATACAAAATAAATCACGGTTATAGAATTAACTACTCCTTGACATTTCAAAGAAAGGTTAAGGGAACATACAGAATCAATGGGTAAACAATGTGTTATTTAACAAGCAATGATGCAAAAAATCAGTTTGATTTAAAAACTAACATAAATATCTGCCACACACATACAAAAACATATTACAAGTCAGTTAGAGATAATATTTGCAATAAAATATGAAGCAGTTTGAATAATAGGACTTATTTATATTCCAGTGCTTGAATTCAGTCTTTAAGTCTGTGAAAATCAATTGGTAAAGGTGAAGTTTTCAAGAGACTTCTACAGTTCATTTTAAGCTCCTACACAGTAAAGAGTTGATGACATTAAGAACAAATTATGATCAGTGAAAACATTCAACATTTCAACAGGAAGTTCAATATGAAGAGTTCTAAATCTGGGGGGAGGGGAGGCAGGCAATAATGAGTAAATATACAAAATAAGAGAGTCTCTGCCTCATTACTAAGGGGAAAATATGATTTTCCTAGATTAATGAAGACGGCGAGTCCTAGTGACATGCAGTGTTAGCAGGCCCAAACAATGAAGCTCACACAGCTGTATGAAGTGACTTTATCATGGGATCATCCTCCAGAGGATTAATGCAATCTTAGTTCTTTTCTTTAATCTTTTTCTTAAGATGTGTACCTAACTAAATATTCCCATAGATTTTTTTTAAAGTATAAGAAAACTTTAAAAACTGGAGAAAAGTGAAAAGACATGACAGGGGTTAACAATGTTAGAATATAAACTCTTAAGCAATGAGGGCCCAAATAAGATACAGCATTTTAAACTATATAAAGCCAACCTAAATGGGAGGCAGTGTTAATCATTAAAATGATTTTCCTTTTCTGTGACTGTAGGATTTTACATCACACATAAATGGACTTGTTACTATTATTGAGGAAAGCGAGCACTCAATATTTTCTAGTAAGTGCTCTAAGGCAGAGGTTGTCAGCCTGTGGGTCATAACCCCTCTGGGGTTGGAACAACCTTCACACAGGGGTTGCATATTGGATATACTTGTTACTATTATTGAGGAAAGCGAGCACTCAATATTTTCTAGTAAGTGATCTAAGGCAGAGGTTGTCAGCCTGTGGGTCACAACCCCTCTGGGGTTGGAACAACCTTCACACAGGGGGTGCATATTGGATATCCTGAATATCAGATATTTACATTGTGATTCAAAACAGCAGCAAAATTACAGTTATGAAATAACAGCAAAAATAATTTTGTGGTTTTGTTACCCCAACATGAGGAACTGTATTAAGGGATCACAGTGTTAGGAAGGTTGAGAACCACTGTTATAAGGGATGAATATGTAATAAGATAATCTGTGTCTTAAAGATTGGAAAAAAATAGAAGTTGATACCCAAATTACATAACCTAATATCCTAAAAATTCATTTTTAAATTATCAAACAAACTTTAATTACAAGTCTGGTCAGCTTTTTTTTTCCATTCACTACCTTTCTTGTTTCTATCAAAGTGAGTACTGTCCAAAGCCCTGAAGCTGGCTACTAAAAAAATCAATTAAATTGTTATACAACAAGGTCTAGAAAATAAAGTACAAAATCTCAAACAGGCACATTTGGCTGTGTCCGTGTGATAAAATGTCAAGGCAGTGTGTTCATCCTTTCCTCAACTACTGGGCTACAGCTGGAGTCGAAGATTGTGGCATGAGCTACAGAGAATACACGCAAGCAGACAAAGGTACTGATGGTGTACATCTCTCTTGGGTGATTTGTTTCCACCTCTCAATATTTGTCACCTTCTGTTGATCATCAGTTACTATGCAATAAGCTCAATTCTGAAAACATTACGGAAAGAAGTCTCTACCCTCATACAGTATCAAGAAATACTAGTATTCTTTACTTGGAACAGCAGAAACTTTTGAAGTGCTGGGAATCAGAACCAGTTTAATTTAATTCCTAACCAAAGAGCAAGGAACTGAATACAAACAACAAAAGAGACAAAGACTGTCATAATTGAATTGGTGGAAAAGCTCAGTGAGCAC